TTCCCATCACTCCAAATTCTTACTGGATCCCTCCCATCCAAGTCAGTCTTCCTCATCCTCGCAGGCTCCTCCTCTCCATTGGCATCTTTTGTATTGTAAACAACTCACAAAACCATGACAATGTCTCAGCACATGTTCCCCTCGCCTCCCTCTCTGTTCTCCCAGCTATTTGTTATTGTCTCCTCGCTATCGTGTGTGTGTTTGTCTCTATCACGCATTCTTTATTCTGTTTTTTCCTCTGCGTCAGAAAAGCAAAAGTTAATTAAATATGGAACGAGATGGAGCAGCATCTCTTTAAACCATCATGTCATTAAAATGGCATCCCTGGGAGATCAGCTTAAAAGGAGTTGGAGAACAATGTCTCCTCAGTCAGATATTTATGGGCCTGGTTATGTAAACATGCTCCCTTTATTCTCTATGTATATTTCATGTAATTATCACTTTTTGTTGTTATTCCCCCCTGAGATTCATAGAGGCAAGAAGTTACTGGGGGAATGTCATTAGAAGAGACTATTGTTATACGGCTGCTATGATACCACACCAAGAAAAAAAGAAACATTCCCATCTTGGTGGAATCTATAATCTATATTTGACTCCTTCATATAAAAAATATCAATGTCTTGTTACTGCACATCTGCCACTGAGACAGAAACCTGGGCTCCCACTTCTCTACAGATGCCCATATTTAATCATCCCAAGAAACACACTGAGCCAAGCATACAATGGAGCATACAATAGTTTTTGTCCTCTTCCAGGCAAGCATTTAATCTAGCTAGCTGGAAATGTGTCGATCCATCACCGGTTTTGATTTATCCATCTTTTAAAGAAGCTAAATATCGTCAGCAAAGATCGGTGGTGCTTGAAGGCCTGGGTGCCAGCTGACAGAAGCGGCTAATTAAGAGGGCTGGAGAGCCAGTGGGGTGCCTCGCGAAATAGGGGCACCTGGGTCTCAAATGAGGGGGCTGGGTGCCCATCATAACTTATCTGCGTTGCACAGAGTAAACTGTTGTCAGCTCAATGCTGTGCCACGTTGCACTCAGGCCCAACGTCACACACAGCTCGCATAAGAAACCCTCTCCCCCCGTGCCCTCGCTCAGCTCGTTCCCCACCACAGAGGGAGATGTTGTTTCATGGCATGATGGAAATGTGCATGTCAGGATGCATTACATTTTAGTCACATGCACTTAAATAGAAATGCAAAAAAAGAAACACACTTCATGCATAATATAAAAAAGGTGCACACACACACAGACACACACAGATTCAAAATCCCACATGCATAACTTAATGCTCCTCTCCTCTCCATTGTTCATTGAGTCTTCTTTGCTGTAAGGTCAAAATGCCTCTAAGTAATCTAAGTGGCTCTGACTTAAGGGACAATATAAGGTCTGCCATGAGTTCTGTCATTACACTTTCACACACCAGAGGCAGATACAGCTCTCAACCACCACTGAACCTCGTATTGCTATCCAACCCGACGCCACAGATGCAGTAAACCTAAGTGAACCGCAGTTTCGAAAGTCGACAGCAATAACCACTGCAGAATAGCTTTTAATCAACGTCTGAAATGAGGGTGACTTGAAGCGTCGCCCCATGCTGATTAAATGTAATTGTTTAATTGCCAAGTGCTGGGAACCCATCCTAAGAGGATTCCAATGGAATTATTTAATCTCTAGTCAGGAGGTACACTGCAGGAAAAAGCAGAAAGAAACCGAAAGATGAGAAAAGGCCAAAATCAAGCAAAAAGTGCCTTTTCCTTGAATATATTCCTAATGGAATATTGAGAACGGTTTGAGAACTGTTTGCTAAAAAGTAAAACAGCTCATGCTGGAGTAAAAATGTACGCTAAGAAAAGATATGGATTCAGAATGGGGTCACAGCTCGGACCTCCATCTGCACACTAAAGTGCTTTGATCACGTCAGCAGGTTGGATTTTATGTTCCAATTTTATTCCAAAATATCAAGTGTGTGCTGCCTAATGGAAAAGAGTTGCAGTATATGACAATACCTCCATAGTTTTCCGGATAAATTAGTCGCTTCATTTTTCTTCTGCCAACTTTCATTACCTATATCAGGTATTACCAAGTTAGAAAACAGCATATTTCAGCATTTAATCATTTCAGTTGCATGCCAAAGGACCCATTATGAGAAAATTATAAAGGCCCTCTGCCGCCTCTGATTGGTGACTGAGTCTCCGTTAATGGTGCTCTTAAACCTAAGGAGATTCTTTTTTTGAGATTGCAGCTTTAAAGATCTATGCTTTTGATCACAAGCATCCACCTTTAAGTTTTTGATCAGACAACACATCAACAGATACCACTATGTGTTCATAATTATTGTCCGTCATCTTTATTTCCCATGGTGCTTTTTTTCGAAGACCAATTTAATCTGGTATTATCTACTAGATATCCTTAGGTAGTAGCCAAAGTAGCCACATGTCACAACATTTCAATCTATCAACAAAATCAATAGCAGTATCCCATCTGATAGAACTGCGCAGTGTGCAGGCTCTCCACAGTGAAACCGTTCTTGCTGTTGCATTTGAAAGTAAACCCACTTTGCACAGCAAAGCCATTTTGCTGATAAATGCAGTTCTGTCACCCCTAGGGAGGTGTGCCTGCATCCCTCTGGTCAGAAGTGTGCTGCTGTCCCCCCACTACGCTGTGGGCAGCAAGAGAGCGATGGGGGAGCACGGGCTTGCAGCTGTGGCCTTATTCCCAGCACCTGATCGGGAGCCCAGATGTGCACAGGCAACAGCAACGATTTGAGCAATGTAGGTCCCTAGTGGGAGTCGGACACCTGCAAATGCAACCTCACTATCTGACATGATGGCATAATTGCAGGTCTAATCCTACATCTGGACAGAACATGTGTATTATCAAACCAACACAGCGAAAATAAAAACAATACATAAAACAAAAAAAGCACTTGGAAATATCCCAGCTACGACAGGGCAAAATGTGATCCGTTACAGCTAAGCACGGAGATCGATTTATTTATTTCATATTGTGCATAAAGATCATCATCTCCCAACAGAGATGTGCTTTTATACAGGACCTCTCATCTGAGTCAAGCAAGCATTTGCTCTAAACCTAATAAAAAATATATTGCAAAAATTGAAAGAAATCAATACCATTACAGCAATCAAGAACTACTTATAGCATATGCTGAACCACAGGACATGTTACTGTTGAGCACCAAGTGGAACGGCAATACATGAGTATAGCAGGTAGAGGGAATAGAATTGAGTTTATAGACCTGTTAATTAAGTCACAATCATAAATACGAAGTGATTCATAAGGTGGAAAACGAAAGCAGGAATTTACCGGCATATTCAAACAATAGCATCACAGTATATCAGTTGATGAAAACCATGTCTCAAAGGCCGATTTCACGATATGAGCCGCTCAACACTATAAAACATTACAGGTTAATGGTGACATCTAGTGGCACAAGAGGACGTTTACAACTGTCAATCACAGTATATTGGTATGTCAGCATTGTTTGTCAAATGGGCCGCTTCCCTTTTTCTTACCTATGAGTAAAGTTGATTAATCCTCCATCAAACAAAAATAGAAAAACATCTTAAGCAACACTTTCACAAAACCTAAGAATTCAACGAAACGTTAATAATAAATGCATTCAAATAGAGAAAATGACCTACTAATTTATCTAATCTAATATTATTGTCATTTTTACTAGATGAATGACTCAGATTAATTAACTTGGGATATACAGTATACTCTGAATTTTTGTTTGTTAACTTGAAACAATGATCAATTTACTGTGGGATTCTGACTATTTCAGACAAAAAAAACACTTAAAAATCTTAATCAACCATTTGAATATTATGTGGTAGTAAACTGAAAGTATAAGACTTTTTCAGGATCAGGTTGGAAAATTACATGCCCAAAAGGATTTAATTATTTTCTGTAAATAGCAGCTGTGTGTAAACCATCTTAGAGTGACAGCACATAGGTCCACATTTAAAAAGCAGATCAGGCATCACTTCCCTTGAAACCAAATGTTCCCCTCTCGTCCCTTTTATCAGATCAACTCAAGTCTGCGTCACCTAGTGATTCGAAGCTTCACACTTAGTTTAAAATAGCACCACAACTTGATGCTGTTTGTTTAAGTGTGAGGTAAAAGCATTCATTAACAGTGTATTTTTCACAGTATAATATTGGAATTCATCATATATATATTACATTAATTAATTTGTTAAATGTGTCAAAGTTATTCCCTCCTTTGCTATTTCTTTTCAAGATTATATCTGATGAATAAGTACGAAGTTCTTAACCACAGGTACAGAGAGCACACGCAGATATAACCCATTATTGAGCTATGGTCTAAAAACATAAAAGCATGTTTGGCTATGAAAGAACTGTACATTTCATAAGCATGTACTGTACATGTGAACATAATATGGCACTTTCACTTTCCACGTCTGTGCTTTTGCTTTAATTGGTCAAAAGTTGGGAGTATTTGTGTATACAAAAGTCTGCCTACACATATATATAAACATATATATAACAGTCAGTCAAAGAAGCAACATTCCATGAGTATATTACAGGGATTAAATTGTCAAAATCTGACTGTATTATCTCCATGATTATTTTCAACAGGCCTTAACGAGAGAAATTTCTTTTAACTGTTTATTTTTATTCTGTACATAAAACTGACTTCAGGATGTTTTTTCACATCTTGTCATAATGTAAAATATTGGAATACTTTGCTGGGTATTTTCATGAGTTAAACTCAAATCATAAACTAATAAAACAGACAATAAAAACACATAATGCTTGTGCAGTAATGACAACATTATACATTCAAACACTGAAAACCACCATTGACATCATTTTAGGTTTTACAAGACAAAGTATTACGCAGATTGTTTTGTTTCTTTCTTTTTTTTTCAGGCCAAAGTTTGAATTATTTTATGAAAAGTTTTGAAACACTGTCCATCCGCATCCCTCCATCTGTCCCAGAGTATTTACTTGTCACTGGCCGTCACGTAGGATAGATGAAGGTGACGTCGTTTGCTTCTTTGGGCAGAGAATTTTGCTAAAGGCCCTGCGGAAGCTACTGTGACACAAGGGGTAGAGGAAAGGGTTAATAGCCGAGTTGAGCCACAGGAGCCAGAAGGTGACCTCATACCAGTGATGCTGGATGCATCGCCCTCTGCAGGCAGCGCGGATGATCATCAGTAGGGTGTACGGTGCCCAGCAGATGGCAAACACACACACTATGATAGCCAGGGACTTAGCAATTTTCTTATCCCTGGACAGACGGCTAGGCTGGACCGTCCTGCTGTTTGAGGGATCTAGTTTACCAAGACAGGGGGAAGAGTTTTGGGAGTTGACAGAGCCTCTTATGGGCAGTTTTATCCCAAACCCCCAGTTGTGGGACAAGGGGATACCTTCCCCCTGGGCTGAGGCAGGCTCACTCACTTGAAGCTGTAGCTGTGCTTTCCTGTGGTGGAGTCTTCTCCTGCGTATGTTGAGGTAAATGCTGAGGTTGAAGAAAGCCACAAAGATGAAAGGAGAAAAAAACTCCAGCATAGAGGCACTCAATAAGAAGTACCAAGAGTAATAGAACTCTGCAAAGCACTCTTCCTTTGGCACGCGGCTCCTGCCCACTGCCAGCTCCCAGAATATGATTGCTGGGCCATACAGGACAAAGGCCAGCACCCAGACTGCAATCATCTTGATTATTGCTTGATGAGTCATGCTCTGTCTGGCACGGTAGCTTACCTTTAGGGATAATAAGCATGAATTAGAAAACATATTTTAAAAAAGCTTCAAGTGATGCTCCTTTTCCTTAATATCAGAGAAACATTTGCTGGAGCATTTTGACTATAACAGCAATACGGAAAAGTGCATTCAGATCATTTAAAGTGAAAAGTTGAGATATTTTAAATAGCAGTCACATAAAAAATCATGATGGTCTTCAAATGTTTCGTAAAAGTACTTACGAAAGATTTGAAGTATCAAGACAATACAGTAAGAGACTTGGTCTTTATAAGGTCTGAATATCAGGCAAATAAAACCTTATCTGAACAACCCATTATACATTATAGACCATTCATTACTGAAGAAACATAAGGCAAAAAGTAGACAAATTGCATGAACATCTAAGTACACCAAATAATTCAACATTTGCAGAACCATCACCATGACGGAGAGTTAGAATGATGGTGATGTGCTGTGTTTGATTTTCTCCCAATGTGTTGTTGTGTATCATGACCAAACATCTCCACTTCGGCTTTTTCTGTTATGATTTGCAAACTTTAAGTCAAGCTGCCAAGTTTCTTTTAGAGGCTACAGGCTTTATGCCTGGAAATCTTTTAAAATAGGTCATATTTGTGTAGTTCTTGTGTTTTGTTTTGCCTTGCTTTAATTTTCCCAATGTCTCTGCACATTACATGGTAAACTTGGTACTTCACTTGTCAATTTTTCTCAACAAAGGATGGTCCATCTCAAAAACGTTTGGATATAACCCTGTAACCCAGATTAGTGCGATTTCTGCCTCACACAGATCATTGTCTCCTCTTTCGTTTTTAATCAAGTAAGCACTGTGATGAGCTGGAAGAAAACGGCACTTGATTTCTGTGTTGTGCTAAAACTGCCCTGATCCAACTAGACTGAAGTTGTAAATTCCTTCTCGCGTGAAATTATGTTATTGATTCAGAATATAAGACACATATTACTGTCGTTTAGCTGTTGCAAAAGCAGTCTAATACGCAATAAAGAAACCATTTGTTTAGAAAATGTAAAAGAATGTAATTGTGGAAATTGTTGGGCTTCTGTAAATAACTTCAGAGTAGGGACTGACCTGCTCTGTTTGGAAAGCGCTGTGAGATAACTGTTGTTGTGATGTGGCGCTATATAAATAGAATTTAATTGAATTTAATTTAATTGTAAGTAACCTCAAGTTAAATTAGCCAAAGCAATACATTTAAAAGTCGGGAATTTTGGTAATTTTGAACGCAAATAATATTAATATACAGAAACAAAATCTGTTTCAGCCATAACATTCAGTAGTCTCGTCAAATAAATCTTGAACAAACAGTTTAAACAAAAGTGATGTTCTACATCAACACCATGCATTGCCTAAATGCGTGAATGAGTTTTAAGTCAATGAAGTACCTCTCCTGACCACTTGTTTCAATTAGTGTCACATCCTGTGTCCCTGTCCACTTGCCTACTCATCAGACAGCATACTTTACAACCTCTCCAGCTGCTCTGCATGTATGTCACAGTGGTTCTTTGTAATTAATTCTATTTCACAGAAGATTACGCTCGCTTCCTCTTATGTTTGTATAAATTAATTGCTACTTAATATTTGTGGGCCCTGCTGCATGTCAATCATCCTTAGCAATCAGGAATTTCATATTACCTATGCTTTTAATTAGCTTCTTCCTGTGATCTTGTTATGTGTCTCTTTACTCATTATTGTAATCAAAAGACATAAATGTGTGCATTCCTCCCTAATACTGTGCAGTTTTGCCAATGTGCTGTCATGCCAGCTGTGTGTAATCGGACTCCACCCTTTCTTTTCAAAGACAAACTGTGTCTCTGACTGTTGACAGCCCTTTGTCTTCCAATGTTCAGAGAGAAATGCTTTTAGGAAAATGTGGCTTGGCTGCCGACGGCCTGTGTCTGCAGCGATTGATCTCTCATGGTTGGAGGGGCCGTGGCACAGAGGAGGACCTCTATGATCAAAGCTGTCTAATTAAAGAAGAGGATCACTCTCTCTCTGGTGTTATTTGTATTCATTGCTCTGATGTTAAGTGTTTGCCTCTGAAAGGAAACAGAGCACTCTGTGTGCTCTGTGCCAAGCATCATCCCACCTTTGGGTTAAGACAGATGTGTATAAGAAGCAGCCTACTCTGTGATGTATGCACAAGTCCCAAAAAAGGCTAAATGAGGTGCTCAACTGTAGAGGTTTGAGAGTGCATGGCAGTAAGGAAAACAATTAAAATGGTACTATGCAATTGTGTTTCAAATAAAAGCAAGCCATATGGATGCTTGGATTAAAAGCTCAGTAATCGGAAATGTAATATCTGTTTTTCATGTGCTTTTTCTCTGTGCATTTAGCTAAAAAGCAGTCTATCCCTAAGTTGGGCTATGGCCTTTTTTTCTCTTCATGGGGGAAAACTATAATTAGGAGTGGCACTAGGCCTGAATGGGTCAGGCATGATTAACCTCCACAGATGGGCACATTTGGGAGGGTGAGACTCTGCCACAACTAACAGCCTCTGAGTTTCACTGAGCCACAGGGCACAAGGACAGAGCATCTGTACATTTGCAAGATTTGGGGATTCAAAACATTTTAACAATACTATCTGATAGCCTCATTAAAGAAGCACTGGTACAACATTACAATTTCAAGAAAAGTAAGAATCAACACTACCCTGCTGTTGTTTGACTTTGTTGTTCTGGGTAAATTCTTTCATAATAAGGCCAATTTACTCTGATATTCCATGTAATGCCTAAGATTACTAAGGGACAGTCTGTTCCACTCACTGCTCTGGTGACTGAGAGGAAGCGATCGTAGCTGATGAGCACGATGTTGAAGACGGAAGCAGAACAAAGCAGGTAGTCGGTGACCAGCCACAGCTTACACAGTCCTCGACCCAGCGTCCATCTGCCCGTGAGGATGTAGGGAATGTAGACTGGGATGCAGAATGCCCCTATACATGCATTGTAAAGGAATCAGTTACCACAGTCAGTGAAAGCAGTGTGCTGATATTTTTCATTTCTAGTTAACAGATGCTAGCATTTACACACATATCAGCCATTATTTTATACATTCTTGGAATATTTTCACTTGGGAAATGTCAATAGGAATTCCAAACATTAATCTAAAAAGATTACATATAATGAGTGTCAACACAAAAATGTTGCCTTGTTGCCTAAGAAAGAAATCAATGAAAATTATTCAGCGCTAAGTAATAAACTAATAAATGAACATTTATTTTGCATCCATTGATTTCTTTTAATGTCACTGATGAGCTCTTTCACAGCACGGAAGATTGACAGAAAGACTGACGCACAAGTAGCATCTTCCCTCTTCAAAGATATTCATAGCAAGATTTCTTCTATAAAACTAAGCTCAGTGTTCTCTGATTATCTGATCTCATTATTGCAGAAAGGAAAACGAGAGAATGAAAACCTAAGGTTAAACTCACCAACAAGAAAATCTGAGACTGCCAAATTTAAGAAGTAGTAATTGCACTGTCTTCTCAAACTCTTGTCCACTTTGAATGCCAAGATGACCAGTGCGTTGCCCAGAACTATCACAACAACCAAAGTCACCATCATGACCATCAAAATGACAAACATGGGTCCAGAGAAAACGAAGCTGCCCTGGACTCTGGTTGAGGCATTGTCAAAATAGTCCCCAGTGGAGTTGGAATCGCCGTGTGGCTCCGACATGGTCTTAAGGTGAAGTGGAGGCTGTGGTTGTTAAATCCTCAGAAAGCAGATCCTAAAAAGTAAAAAGCCAGCAACAGGTGCCAGATCAGCGGAAACTGCAACCAGCACCCTCATGTGTGTTCCGAGACCGTCGGGTTTCTGATGAAGGAGAGCACAGTGGCTCAAAATATCCACAAGAGAGCGCACAATGCTCTTTAGAGCGCTTTCTAAAAAAACACCTGGCGCATGAAATGCGCCTGTCCCCAACGCACGCAATGCCATTTACTGCGATCAGATCAGAGCTACATATAAGTTTAAGGGAAACATCTACATGTCCATTTCTCTCTTGGTGAAGATTCTGGACCTCCAAGAATAAGTTTGGTCCTCTTCTCTCAATTACTTAATTGACATTTTTTATGGTGAAGATTTTTTATCACGTGGAGCGTTCAACGTGTCGAAATGAATTTGGAGTGGAACGATGCCACTGTAACAGACTGTTCTGTTACACTACCTTGTGCAATGACTGGAGGCTTAATGTCAGTGATGGAAGAAGTATACTCTGAGGCTTTCACTGGTGCAACATTGCAAAGGAAGTATACTGCGATGAAAAAACCTAATCAAGGTGTGATAAGGTCGCCATGTAGGGAATAATTATCCCACTGGGCTTTATTACTAAAAGCAAAATATGCTAAATGGAGAAAAAAGCTCCATTTGTGTGTACTACATGCATATAAAACACACAGGTTCCACAGAGAACTATTGTGCACAGATGTAAAAGTAGTATTTTAGTCTCATAAATCAGCCTAAAGCCCATTGCGTTTTAAATGACTGCAGAATCAGCTTAAACAATATAGGAAATGTGCTTTGTACTTTGTTTATAACAACTAAGACTAGGATAATATATCCATAAACAATGAAATCACAAATATATCTGCCATTTGCTGTTGTTTGATTTCAATTTGAACGTTTTATTTTACCTGGATTTAGCTTTTTCTCTGAAGAAAGTTGGCACTCGATTGATTTTTCTTCATCACAACATTTGTGCTTTATCCAATCTTAAAACCTGAATTCCATATGTTTGCTAACACATCTTCCAGAAACAGGTAAAAAGACTGTGGATCAACATGCAAGTCCACCAGGAATGGCCGAGGAAAACAACAATTCTATATCAGCAGTCAATGAGAGAGGCCAGTTTCAATTACTGTTATTTTCTCACAAATCATCTGCCACTATCTCATGTGTTGTTGAGAGGAGAAATGCAGTGCACAGACAGGTGTGCTGAAAGTGATGCAGCTCTATCCAGAGTCCCTACCTGTGCTATTTATATTAACCCTTAGAGTAATCAGATTGGGTCTATAGTACAACCTACACTACTGATATTCAGGTAGACTAGTGGGAGAAAGAAATGGACTGGAACTCAAGTGTATAACAAAGGAGTGGTGATGTCAAAGAAACTGCAGTTTGGCTGTCATGGAAACAAATGCACTCAAGATTTACATAAATGCTGCAAAATTGAGACTTTTTTTTTTTCCTTATTGCAAATTGTAAAGTCGTAATGCTTAAAAAAATAATGACTTCCAAAGAAATAAATGAATGTCCCAAGTGACATAAAAGCCCAGGATTAATTAACATTAGCATTAAAGCCCTTCCCCAATATCGCTTAACTGATGTATAATTACAAATTGGAAACTAAATGATTGAATTAACTTTTTACAGTGTGCATTTCTTTTACCTAAGACCCATCTAAGACCCAGGTTTGCGTGTTATGACACATATCCATCATCCAAAGCTCAGCTTTTAAGAGGATAATTATTCCTTTGCAATGTAAATACATTTAAACACAAATAAATTAGTATAGACATATTAAATATAATAAGAAGAAATATATCACAGATAAGCAATCAGCTTAGCAGGTGCAGTCACTAAATCAGGAAATCTAAACACAGGGGCTCATTTCAATATCGAGGGTACTCAGAAACAAAGCAGTGTCAGAAAGGATGCACAGAGGCTCTAGTGTTACCCATTATACTGAGCCCTGCTGTGGCTCCCCACCACTCCGACACTCAAGTGTTTGTGTTTGGATGCTCGGTAGTTGTACAGATGTCTTGTTGCAAGTGTGCCCGCCTATCTAAAGCGATCACAGTTCAAATTCAATAGATGCGTAAACAGTGCACATCGTATGTCGCAAAGGTAAAGAGGAGTTCTTTCCAAGATGCTTCATAATATGTATTCTCCATATCCCTGACATGAGGGAGCCTGTTCAGGTTAAATCAAACTTAAAATCTAATCAATAGGAAATGTTCCAGATTTGGTCAAAAATAAAAAATAAAATAAAAATAAAAAAACGCTACAATATAAGACATCTAAAATACACCTGAGACAAAAGAGTGGTGACGAGTCTCATTCGTCCTTTTATAAGCACGGATGAAGTGGTGATACTCTTCATGCATATGTATGCTGGGTTAACACTTGAGTTTATGAATCCCGAGCTCCATAGCTATCATAATACAACTGAATTAACTTGAAAAAATCAAAACATTTCAAAACAATTTCACAATTTCTTTTGTCATGATGACCATAAAAACTCAAGGCTGTGACGTACAAACATGTGTGTCTCATATTTACAGATTTACAACGCCTGAAGTTTTGCACATTTGAAAGGGATTGTTGCAATCCGAAGGATTCCTTCCTTCCTTCCTTTTTCTGAAATATATAATGATTGAATTACATTCAATACCTTTTTTTTTTGTCAACGTGATGAGTGCAGTCACTGTGACTTCTTCTACAGGTTTTCAAACAACCTCTTGTCAGTTCTCAGATAATTTGACAGAAAAAAATACAAATTATATTTAAAAAACTTGCATGCCCATGTTATACTTATCAGTCACAAGGTAACCCTGCACAAAGTACATCTTGTTTGACACAATTCTCGACCCCTAATCTGTCAGTGCTTTAAACTACCACGTTTGAGTAAACTGAAGCACATCACTAAGTATGAAAAAATCATCAAAAAAAAAAAACGGTGTCTCAAATGTAGTTTTCTGAGTGTTAATTATCAGAGTAACTGAGAGAAGTCCAAGTGTTGATGCAGAAAACATTGTACCAACTGTTGAGCATATCTGGGAAAAGGTTGCATCCATATGCCTGATTCGGGCTAATTGCCATTTGAACGCAACAGAAATATCCCCTGCTAGTCCAAGTCCTCACATCACATCAGAGCTGCCACAGTTTACATAATAAATGCTGATCATTAATGAGGAGGCTGAACCCGTAGTTGGAAGGCACCACAACCTCACAGTCTGTTTGGCAGAGCTGCTTTCAAGAGGAGGGTTGCTGGCATTTACCTCATGTGAGAGATCCACAGAAGCTCATTGAAATGCCGTGGGTGTGCCTCATCGTGACAGTATTTTCCATTCACTCGTTAAATTTTTCATCGCATTTTCAAAAGCTCCAAGCTGGTTAATCCAAGTCCCCGATTTACCCTGCCCATGTATGACAATTATTTTAATAAATATTTGTTTCTACAAAAACAACTGTATAGTCATCTTTTGTAATGGTACTGTTCAAGTTTCATAAGATGGAATTGAAATTATCCATTAGTCTTCAAAACTATATACATTTTTTTTTTAGCAGCTTGGATCATCTAAATTGAGTTTGAACTTCTATAGCAGTTCAGCTGGTGCTCATTTTCTGTCTTAATTTCCACTAAGATGCTTCCACCATCGTTTGAATCACTCAGCCTGATTGTGATGTAAATACAATGTTTTAATATGAGATTGTTTGTTTAACTTCCTTGATAAAGGTTGCAAGATATTTATGATATCCAATAGCATCCTATCTGCCCTGGGCTTTTATATGAGTTTGAAGATAATATTTCAGATTTAACCATAAATGTTTTACAGTTTTGACAGATATCTCTTATTTTGACAACATAGCAACAAAAAACAAACTGAAAGGTCTATAAAAGTGTATTGACTAGTGAATAAAAGATGATATGTGAATGTGCATGAGTGGATGTGTCATATCTGATGGGAAAATACCTTTGTTTAGCATTGTAAACTTGACAAATGAATCACATGGCATTAAAAATGAAAGAGCAATAACGCTTTCGTAAAAACAAAAGGCACAAATTCCAAAGGTAGCCTGCTATCTGCAGCAATTCCATTCATTTGAGAAAAAGTCTCTAAAAAGGCGAGCAAACTAATTTCCCCCAACATTTACTCAGCTTTCCACAAACTGCTGGCATTTACACCTGGCTGTGATCCAGTGTGGCTAATCTAATTTAATTTGATCACTAGATAAATTGAACATGAATTCAACTTACTTTTATTTGCCGAGATACACATTCAATTTGGAGGGAAAGGGGATCAATAAATCTTGTAATAACAACACTATTACTCAAGACTTTTCAGGAATTTTTTGTTGGTGTTGATTGATTTTCAGCTGTATGCCTTCTTGCAATATTTGTTTTTTTAATGCGTTGACCAGTCAGAAATGAGTTTTATAATGGTGTGTTTGTGAGTTGGATGTACTGTATGGTTACTGCCAGAGGTTTCCACTGAGATGATGTTCTACATCATAAAATAACAGAAAGACACTTGGCGTTATCACCCATATAATCTTTCCTTAAAAAGAAAAAACATGCTTTGAGGCCAGTCTTCTTTGGAGAGAAATCACTTAACTCAGTGACAAAGATGTTGCTCAGACATGCTCTATGTAAAGGGAATACATGCTGTTCTTTTTCTCCTACCTTTCCCTCACAGTCTCTCTCTCTCTCTTTCTCTCTGTCTGTCCATAAAATGTCCCTGCTGGGGATTCTATCTTCTGGTTCCTTTTGAAGCTGTGGCCTCTCTTTGGCTCCATTATCTTGTAATTTGTGGTGGATTATGCTCTGGAGCACACACAGTCCACCCCGTTGCTTAAGAACTGTGACAGCTTACAATAATTGCCATGCTAATTAGCAAGAACTAGCCCAGTGCGCTTCTGTCTCTCACCAGACATGATTTGATGAATATGCTTTGATTAATGTCTTCAGTCTTGTTTCCATTATGTCCAAATCATTCTAATCAACTTTTACTAATATTAAGACTGCTCACAAATAAAAATTAACCTGCCTTTTATTGTATTGTTTCTTTGGTAAAGCAGATGCAGCTTCAGCTCAATATTAACATTTGGAATTTAACACTAAGGTAAGTTAGCTTTGTGAAATATCTCTGTAGTTTACAGGAAATGTCTCTTTTAATTGTCTGCTTTCGAGTTTTTCTCTTGATCAGAACATCCTAATTATTTCAAAGGTTTGTACACCGTGATTGAGTTCTGCTGTACAATTAATGGAAAATCTGAATGGAGGCAACTTCTTCCAATGGCTTTTTCACGTTGATTTGAAAATTCATAACACGCACATTTAAAAAATAACAGCAATGTCACGGCTATTCTGATTCAATGGATGTCCTCCACTCACTGTTTATAAATGGGATTCAGTCCCACATCTGTTCCATTAGATGTTTACCTTTTCGACAACATCCTACAGCTCTTTTGTACATGAGCTTTCTCCACTGAATGATCCTTTTGGAACAGCAGCCTTGAACAAATAAACTTCGTCTTCTCCCAGGTGACTAAGTCCTCTTTGAAAGTCTCTTTCACATGTCCTTTCATTACTGTATGGCCTACCATCACCTGCCTTCACAAACGTGTGCATGCCTCAGGGGATCTAATTGCGAGAAGCACCCAGGGCTTTCAAAGCCTCTCTCAGAGACTGACCTTCACTGCCTTTGCAGCCATAGCGTTTTACAGGTAGAACCCCAGAAAGCTATGACATTTCAAACAAATGCAGGATTATTTTTTTTTAAATATAACTAGATTGTTAAAATACAGCTGTGATGTTTTCAGCTTGAGCTTGAAGACAAACCATTCCTCCCATCCTGCATGGACAGCAACAGCTTCAGCAAATGCTTCCATCTAGTGTGCAAAAGATGAATTTAGAAATTCAAAATCCAAATACATATATATATAAATATAATTATCAAGATTATATTTTCATCAAATATTTGATAGCTTATAGACATGTCAATTAACCAAAACTTTGGAAGAAAAGGGCCTCTAGTGCACCACAAATGTCAAAAATATGGTTTTAGTCTTGCCATCTCCTAACTATTCCCTGTAATACTTTAGATATATTTTTCCACATTCAAAAGGTTTTGCCATCAACCTTTTTGCTTTCTAACTTTTAGTACTTTTAGTTCATCACATTTTATTCCTGTAAGTACAGATCAGTTGGTGAAAGACAAACTTTGGCCGTGAAGAGTTGTACAAGTTCACCTGTCACATGTGACTGTGATTGCAGTACATCTGAATTTTACATCTTATTTGAGTAAACCTAATAAGTAATCTAAAAACACTTACTGTTGCCCTTTCAGAGTTGCTTGTTCTGACTCTAAACAAAACAGTCTAACTAAATGTCACACTGTTGAGTAAATATTGTTGCCTACTTAAAAGCTGAGTGGCCATTCAGAGGTGGGGGTGATGGAGAGGGGGTGGCCTGCACCTTAAAACTGTTCATCCTCTGCTGGATAGAAAACTCATCCATTCCTCTTTGTATTCTTTTTACACATTTCGTGTACAAGACAATTCAGAGTGCTTTACAAAGAGTTTAAAAGCAGAAAAGAAAGCAAGAAAATGAATCAACAAAATCAATTCAACAGAATAAAAGTGAAGGGTGCAGATAAAGTACATTCAGTTTCCATTCAGTTTTTTAATAGAACCGTTTTCAGCCTGGATTTCAGCCTTTGCTTGTTTGGTTCTGACTCTGGGCCTCAGCAGGTGACCACTCCCTGAGGTTCTCAGAGTCCGAGCTGGTTCATACTCTAACATGTCAGAAACGTATTTTGACAGGAATCCAGGGCAGAGACCTGAGGACTGGACTGATATGGTCGTATTTCCTGGTTGTGGTCAGAACTCTAGCAGCAGCATTCTGGATGTCCTGCAGCTGTCTTTCAGCTCATTTAGAACCCAGTGAGTCGGCCATTACTGGCCATTACAGGCCATTACATACCTACATGTGCAGCATATTTTTCCAAATAAAAAATAAATGTGTTCATATCACAGATGTCACTCAAAATAGTTTTTTTCATTCTTTTTGCTTGTGTCATCGAGGGAAAAGCTATAAGAGAGCAGCGAGAGACGGAAACAATCCAAGAAATTCAATGGAATTATGGTCTCAAGTTCAAAGAAGATCTCATTGAAGCTGACAAGTCAAAGCTAGAAGTCATCTCGGGGTCCATGGTGGAGAAGGGAAGAAAAGATGGAGTGAAAGTGTGAAATAAAGTGCACTTCTGCTGAACTGTTTTGCAGGTTCAAAGAAGATCTCACCTCAGTAACAATGCAGCAAGAAATGGTCTTTATTGAACAAGTCACTTTTCAGATTTTTGTGACTTTATGCATCTTTCTATTTTTTCTGTTAATGCTTGCTAAATATGGGATTGGAAGCTTTATATTGATTAGTAAAAAACTGTTGTTTTTTTACATTTAAGAAACCCATGCATGTGCGGCTGATGAATCAATAAGGCAGTGAGATGTTTTCTCATGGAGCTAATCGATCAGCAGGGGTCGCCATTTTAAAATTTAAAGTTCAGACAGCAAAAAAGAGGCTTCAGGAAGTTTAATTATCTTAGAATGTGAATTAGTCAGAAAAGTTAGAAACATGACTGTTTCAAAATGCTGAGATAAAACTAGGTCTTCAATACAGGATAAAACACCTCATACAGTGTTCAATATAGATATCTGGCCTCCAAAGACTGTGAGCTTAAAAATGCATGTTTGCATCTGGGACAAAAAGAAGATACATATGTTTATTTCAGCAGACACATTTCCACTTATTATTTAGTACAGACTGACTGGCTCATGATGATTTGGTAACAAGGTGAATTTATAATCCCTCCAGGACTGCTTTATGTATTATCACTGATTCAATCCTACTGTTAGCACTAATCTTATGTCATTATAATACCAAAGTAATGATTAGTCGAGATAATGCAATTTAATTGACAATTGTGCTCAGCAGACAATTTTCTACACATGTCTTTGCTCATATCTTTGTCCACTTGAGCTCTCTTGCCTGTGCAGCACAGTCTTGCAAGTCAACAATCTTGTCTGGTACGCTTGGCACAGCTTGTGCACTGCGGTTTGCCCAGTCATGGTGTTTTGCTTTTTCTTAAGCCCTAGACTGATATTGTTAGCTATGTTCCGTCTGCACTGGTCTGTATTTTTCCAGGGTCTGAGAAGTGAAATGTAGAACTTTAAAGGGCCCTCTTCAGAAAGTATGTCCTCAATAGGTCAGACAGTATACTTGATCTGTCTGTATTCATTTGTTGGTACAAAACCCCAGGAAACACCGGCAAAAAACTTTTCTTTTTTTTTCTTAAAAACAAGCTGCCTATGATTGTGTTGGTTCACAGCAATGATTGCAGTGGATGTTTTTAGCCCAGTGTGGTGCACAGAAAGGCCTCCATGGACTGTAGACAACCTGAGGAGGCTTTATTGTTGCAAGCTGTTAGTCTTCTGCAGCTGGATCACAGCCCTAGATTTTCTTTCTCAGGTTACTTGATTGAAAATTGCTTTCTCATATTTGTAAGGATTCAAGATATTCCAGCATAACAATACTTTGCAAAGAAATGAGAAATTATGTTAATGATGATCAACCTTTATAAATCTTATTCTTATTCTTATTCTTATTCTTATTCTTATTCTTATTCTTATTCTTATTCTTATTCTTATTCTTATTCTTATTCTTATTCTTATTCTTATTCTTATTCTTATTCTTATTCTTATTCTTATCGTTATTATTATTATTGTTGTTGTTATAATTATCATTTCTATTATCATTATTACTTTTATTATTATTAGCAGTAGTAGTAGTAGTAGTAGTAGTTTTGTCATTATTGTTATTATTGTTGACTATAGTTAATGTAATAACAACAATAACACTAACAATGATGATCCGATTCCCTAATGGGATCTGTTCATTGATCCCATACATTCACCCACATGGCCCTCTCCTATTGGTTTAATTCATTACACTGAATGGTTACAAAATCCCCACGCCCCTCCCCTTACGTTAGCTCCCAAATGCAAATTAGGTTGAAAATGTGTGAGTCCATGGTTACGTGTCCACATCCACCTGTCTAAGTGGCTGGACTTTGTCCTTGGGGGGGCGCATTGGAAACGGTGTGGTAATCACTGGCATGTCTGGAGGAAGGACACAGGAGACATCCGTTTTTGTGCTTAGGTCTGCATTCAGCTTACAGATGAGTGTAGGCACACACACATAAACTGAAACCCTGGGACTTGGATCAACGCACTGTTACTCTTGGGAAAGCCTGTGTGTGCATTGACCGAGGGAAGTCAAGCGCTTGCAAATTCTCTGGCTCAGCCGGAGATGCATACATTCACCCTCTCCCTGTGAAAAGACACGCTCGCAGGCACACTTCCACATGCCAGAGCATCCGAGCACAGGAGAAAGAAGAGGCAGTGACGGAGCTTTCACACAGCATTGCACAGGTACAAGACTGTTCTGCTGTTCTAATGAGATATTCACAGCTTTTCTCTCACCAGATGAGCTGTCTGTGTTTGTTGCCGGCTGACTTGGAGCTGGGCTTTTTGAAGTTGTGCATGGATTTGTTCAGATGTTTGAAGTATGCTGTTGACTTAACATTTACTCTAAAACATATTCACACAAAGGGACTATTCGTTGTTATGGCGACGTAATTTCCATGGATTTAACTGGATTTATCTGAATTTGCTGTGATAAATTGAGCGTGTGTCAATTGGTGCCGAATGTTATGCTGCTCTGTGCATCCCTTTAACGACATCATCTCATTAAGTAATGGATTCTGTCTGAGTATGAGCACAGACTGGTAGGATTAAATTGCACTGAGGTCTTTTTTTAACATGGTAAAAATACATTTAAATATTATGAAAGAAGTATTTATGGGGTTCACCATCTTATTTTTGTCCCTAATGTAAAGCATGGCATATATGTTGACTACCTTAAGTGGCACCATGCCTTAACCGAGGGTACAAACCTTTAAGTTACCCACAGATCTAAAAATTTGTGTTTTTAAAACTCATATGTGATGCAGAGCAATTCCCATGTACCGTGTTCACACTACAGGTTGTGAATTCACAATATCTGTCATGAGGAATAACTAAGCATTTTGCCATCCGAAGACTGAGAGCATCCAATGTAGTCTCATGATCATAGAAGCACTGAAAAAGTCATAAGAAAGGTAGGTTACTTCATTACTAAGAGCTTCATAGTATAATTTGAAGGAAATTACTTGACATGCATGTTGCATCTCCTGGTCTCATACTAATCTGCTGCCACTACATGCACTGACTGGATTATATTTCCTACACTGCTGAGATTGCCAGTATTAAGCAGTATTAAGTCTAATCCCTCATTTTCATAGACCTAACCCATATGCCTCCATTAGCTACACTCTCAGATTTGTTTAGCACCATCTAATGGTTGTCATGGATTGTTTTATTTGCACTTTGCCATAAGGCGGGGTAATACAGAAGAAAATAAGCATTCAATTCATAGTTCAAAGGCACAATTAGATGCTTTGCCCCACAGCATTGTGGATGTGACCCATTTCAGCAGCTGTTGCTGTTTGCCACATGTATACAGTGTTCACTGGGTACAGCGTGAGTGGTTGGTAAATGCAGCACGTGGTACTTAAAGTCGATACATTTGTGCAATTAATTTCGTTTCCTCACCATCACGTTGAAAAAGTGTGAGAACCCTGTTGGTTTCGACAATTTACAGATGTGTAGGCTCAGACTTTTTCTCAGTTTGCTGATAACACTCTTACATACCAATCAGGGGGCCGTGTGGACACGTGCAGCACAGTTTAAGAGCACTTAGACATGATATGCAGGCGGTTAGTTTAGGTCTCTCTGAAAGCATGAAAACGGAGGCATAGTGTTTATATCATTCATCATTTCTTTAGCCAATAATTAATTTTCTCTGCTGTCACCTTTCAGACAGCCCTTTAAAACCTGTGTAACTGGATAGGAATTGGCCTCTACTTTGGTATTGCTACACATGTAACTGACCCACTGTGTATTACTGTTGGTCTTCGTATAGATATTCCTTTTAGGAGATGATAATATGACAAGCCAGATCTTTATTATCTTGATTTTTAGATCAAGGGGAATATATGCATAAACAGGTACCTGGTGGTATTTCTGTGCAAATAGTTTCTATCTCTTCCAGTTTCTAGTTTCTTGGCCTCCATCTATAAGCAATTTGATAAACAGTTAGTATTACATAGCACTCTACAGAGCTATAATTATTTTACCTTGGGGATTTGCTTTGCCTTCGTCAGAGAGTAAATTGAACTATCCATCCTTCAGGGTGTTGGCTAAGAAAAAGCATCCCTCCCAGGCTTCTGCTACAGCACCAAGCTTCCGTGAGGCTTAAAATAGCTCTATTTGTGCCCAGGCAAGAGGATGCAGTGAGAATGAAGGCGCTGGCTGAGATAGTTACACAACAAAGTGGAGCGGTGTTCATGGTGCATTTTTGTGGTTCCTTCTCAAAGAGATTATTTACGTCATCTTATTAAGATTTATTTGTTTCAGTGGGGGTCGTTGAACATTTTCCCTTTTTATTTTAAAATTTTTCTTAAGGGTACTGCCTCAAAAAGGTTTTGATCAAGAGCATGGTGCTGCATCATTATCACTAGATAAAACTTTCTAGTTGTTCTTCCCACAAGCATAGCTGAAGATCCAAATGATACATTTGATGTCTAGTAAAGGACATGGTAAAACCCTACATGTTACTGTGCATTTGCCAAACACAAATAGTTCAAATTAACCAGAACCCAAATCTCCACACTGGTACCATACTTCTTTTATTTCCCAAAGCAAAAATGATAAAGTCTCTCGGTGAGGGAACATAATAAAGAATGAGAACTGTAAGTGAGAATGTGTTAAAGTTGTCAGGCTGTGCTGGTAAGTGCAAAGCTGTTGTTTAACCTTGTGTGGAACAGTGAAAGAACAGTTGTGCTGGCTTTGAATACAACTGCGAAAGGGATCAAGTGTAAATTAAATTTTAGACATTTATATCAACCAAGAAGTTGTGTTGGTTGTGTTTGTTCATAAACATGCAAAAACATTCCAATTTGCAGACTCACCTTCATAGTTTCCAGTACATCATCAAGCACAGTGCCATCTTTGTTTGATGTTTTTTTGTTGTTTGAGTAACTATGCCTAATGCGTCTGCCCCAACAGATGGCTGCAAAGCAGATTGGACGCTTAACCACAGACCCATAGAAGATATGCAGACACTGAAGGACCTGGGAGTCCATAAGACACTCAGTATTTTCTGGCCCTTTTTGTTGACAGCCTCAGTGATACATTTCCAATCGAGTCTGTTGATGAGGAAAACGCCCCACCTTTGGTTTACCTTCAAGATAAGCCGATTTTTCCCATGCAATGCTACAAGTTTCCTGTGCTTAGCTTGTAGTCTGTCAGTGATGCACACAGCAAGACGACATTACTCATGAGTTGGACTAAACATCTGAGGTGTCCAGAGTGAAATTAAATAGTGACAATGCATTATCAACCGTTCAACCTAGCAAACTATTTATATGACAATATGAAGAAGTTGGGGTTGATTAGGTTGTGTTAAGAATTGTGACTGAGGTCGGATGGATGGATGGATGGATGGATGGATGGATGGATGGATGGATGGA